TTTGCCGAAGTTTTGATTGCAGAGCAAATCTGATGCTCTACAGTCAAAACTTCACATCATCTCAGTACCCCTGTAATACATCTCTCCCGCTCTCTCTCACCCATCCATGCAAGGGGGATTCAGCTTATCTCAGTTAGGAACAGTGGTTGTGACTGGATGGGAAGAATTTGATTGCTGAGCCCAACTCCAGATTACAATATCCAAGAAGCCCCCGGAAGCAGAAGCATTAAGCCACTCTTAAGTCGATAATGGGAGCCGTTGCAGCCGCCAGTCAAACAGGATGGGGTGAGGCCCCTTTCTTGGGAAAACGTCTGGGATCAGCAGTGCTTGCCCAGCGATGTCTTTCCTTTTAAAAGCCGGCTTTCTCATGGTGACCGAGTGGGCTCCTCCCCTTTCTGGACCGTTTGCATTTACACACAGTCCCTTTGAAGATAAGAGTCTTTGTGGGACTCCTTAGCATGGTTTGAAGCTTAATCTTAATCTAAGTAGTAAATCGTCTCTGGCAAATTTCCTACTTAGTTTACCTGGCAATGGGTTGGAAAGGCAGGGAAGGCCAGCAGAGCAGGGCAATAGTGTGGGTGCAGGTCACAGGACTGGGAAGGAAGAGGGAAGGGCTTAGACTGGAGGGGCCACCAACCTTCCAAGCCGCTGCCCCACCGCCTCCCCCATGAGGACATGCTGGGAAAATGGGGGGCATTGCTTTTCCTCCCTAGCCTTTGGCCAGGTTCAACCCATATTTTAACCTGACCTTTCTTTTGCTGACTTCTCCTACCATGCCAAATTTGCCCCCATTCTGTTGAGTTTCCAGAGTGTCATCCTACTGCCAGACAGATCCCATCACCTTTCCATAATTGGTTTCCCAATATTCTGCAAAATATTTCCAATACTTTACCAATATTCTGCTATATTGGCTAGAGTACAAGTTAAGATACCTTTCAGTTCACCAGCCATCAGGTGATGTAGCTCGCATGGCAGTAATACAGAAATGTGTCATGGCTTCTTTTGGGGTTCTTCTGAACCTCCCAGTCAGGCCTACAGCCTCAGGATCTCCTGGTGGTCTTCCATCCAACCCTGCTTAACAAGATCAACTATGGTCAAGTAAGTGCTGCCATTCCCAGTTGAATTCAACCCCTGAGGACATCCTGCACATAGCCATGTGCCTTGGCAACATCACCGCTGTAGTTTGCTGTTGCCATTTTTCAGGACATGCTTTCAACTTCCCAGTCTACCTGACAGCCCTGGGACCTTCCAGCTGTTGCCTCTGGGACCCTCCTGCCTTGCCTTACACTGTTTCCCAGAATCCACACAGGCTGTTGCCAACAATCATGCCCAGGTTGTTGCCTGGGAACTCAAACCTGGATGAAGGTCTCACTGCCTGGGTGCCTGCAGGGGACCGTGCAAGAGGGGCCAGTGAGCAATGACATCATCGCAGGGATGCTGCCCCAGGCGTGCATTCAGAATGGTTCGCCTTATAGCACCTTTTCCTCCCCCCCGGACTTTATTCCAAGACATCACCTTTCCTGTGGCTCAAGCTATGGAAACCTAACAGAGGCTAAGCACGGTATGTGAATGCATTGGCTAGGATGTTACCTGATCTGGTTTCAGGGTGTCCTGGGAATCCGGAAAACGGGTGAGCGGAATTCTGGCGTGTGAAGGCATCCCCTAACTTCACCGGGTTCCCAAACTCGGTGCACTGCCTCGACCCGGTTCCCCGAATCTCCCCTTTCCTGGCTTTACGCCCCAGGCTAACAAAGGGCACAGGCCGAGGCAGACCGAAAGGACCGCAGCCGGGCTGCCGCGACGGAGGCTGCGTCTCCCCAACCTGGTGGAGCGCGTCGTGTGAACCCGGTTCGCCCCCCCCCCCAACCGG